TAAGATCCAACCATGCAAAATAGGATTTTTTTTCTGCCATTTTTCGAGTCTTAAACTTTTGACTGGGACTGTATGACCCTAAAAGAGGATATGTTTGTACTTTGCAGGTAGACTAAGCGTATTTGAATTCTGTTTTTATTTTCTTTACTCTGAGCGCTACTGTACATAGCGCCGAAGCAGCTGAAAGACTAAAAATTGAAAACCATCCCTTTTTTTTTTTTAAATGAATTTATTGAAATAATTCAGATTCTCCTGCATCTCAGTGATAGAGCTGTGAGTCTCAACTCACTTCCTGCCTTCACAAAGTCTAAACTTTATTAATGTATTAGCTCTTTTCCAGCCTTACTGGCCAAAACTTTTGAAGAACATCCTTTGAATAGTATATTACCTCACAATGCTTTTCCTCTCACACTGCAGCATCTGTGTTTTTGGTCTGCATTGTTTAAACTCTCATCTTTGTAAAATCAGTTGCTCTGTTGACAGTACATGTATCAATCGTTATACTGATGTTACTTGGCCCAGTTTAGAAGCAGCAGAAAAATATCAGTGTGAAACCTGTAACCTTAACAGTGTGTTAGTTCAGTTTAACCTCCGAAGACCCGAACTCTTTCATGGCATGCCTTTTTAATTTCTCTTTGGGCTGATTGGGACCTGAAGAATGTAAAAACAAACAATTAGCAGAATTTTTTTTTTATTTTTTTAACCTGATTTTTGTTTCTGACAAAAATGAGATCCACATAAGAGGACATTTGTTTTAAATTTTGATAGAACAGTGGCAGCATAACATCCTCGTAAGTGGATATCAGGCCCCTGTAGAGCAAAAACCCAGAATGTGATGTCCATATATGTGGACGCCAGGTGCTAGGAGGTTAACTTAATTTTATACTTTTTATATAATTTTATAGCAACTGTTGTTTTAATGCTTTTTATTATAAAGGTAAAGATCAGACAGTATTACTGAAAGAACCCTAACCATGAAATGATGCGATGGTGGGGAAGAAGAACTCCCTTTAAACAGGAAGAAACCTCACAACAGGATCAGGGAGGGGGTGAGTGAAAGAGTAGGTTTTTATACCTTAAAAACAAAGCATGACTGACTCATTTTAATACAAGCATTTATTATACTGATAAAATGAATCCAAACAGTCATTTATGATGATCATTTCTCATGAAGCAAGCAGAAACGTTTTAAATGCTACAGTTTTACAGCAGAGGATACTGAGGGCTTTAAAGTTCACAGTTAATCAAAAAGAAACACTATGTACAAATAAAAAGGAGAACATTTTCTCCTGTTTCTGAAAGGTGACCGTGCTGTCAAAATCATACAGGAATCTAAGAGTCGAGTACATAACCTGATGACCTCTGGTGAAAAGTACAGTACAAGGAGAAGAATGAAGGTCAAAGGAATATGACTTCCCTTCAGTTTCCATCTCGAAAGTCTGCTGCACTCATCTGAAAAGAAATAAGTAAAATGTGATTTAATTTTTTTATTTTTAATATAATTCCAAATCACAACAACAGTTCCCTCAAGGCGCTTTATATTGTAAGGTAAAGAACCTACAATATTACAGAGAAAACAGAAAAACACAAAACGTGCTGGCAGTTACAGGGTAACAGGGTTAGCAAGGAAGAAGAGCTTCATGCTTTTATTATCAATGTTCTCATTTCAACAAAATTGAGACAATTTAGGCCAAAATACATCTGGGAAATATTCTCAGCTACATGAAGAACAATGTGTCCTGTAGCCAGTGGTCTAAATCACACAGTACAGAGCTCAACATCACAGAGGCTGACTGGATTACGTGAAAAAATACAATACTGAGACCAAGCGCAGCTACCGACTCAAATAAAAATGAAAACAGTCAAAACTCATGTCAAAAAAGGGTCAGAAACCAGTTCAAAGTCATGTCAGAAATTGGCATGTCAGAAGCCAGTCTAAAAACCAGTGGTGCAGTTTAGTTTACTGGTTAGCAGGCACGCATGCCTTATAGCTGAAAGCTTGGGTTTGGTCGACCAGCAATCCTTTGCTTCATCTTTCCTTGCACCTTCTCGCCTTCCGATCAAGTCTTGACTGCTAAACTGCCAAATAAATGTTAAAATCTTTAGAAACCCTTCCAAAATCATGCTGGACCCTAAACTTTGAAAATAAGAACGAGGAGGGCTGTCCAAATCATGGACGGCGTTGTCCTGTCAGATGGATTTTCTTTTAAAGAAGAAAAAAAAAAAAAAGGAAATAAACTTAATCTACCTGGGCGGCCCACACAAGTGAGGATGATGTACTAAACACTTGAGGGAGTTTGAACATTAGTATGGCCACATGCAGCAGGTGTGTCAAAGCTACACCGACTAAACTTTAACACACAGCAGCGCAACGCTGAAGCTGCATCTACCTGATGGTCAAAGTCTTCGAGATCCAGCAGATTGTTGGCCTGAAAGCAGACCTAGAAGACAGACAGAAACATTGTAGAGGGATAGACAACAGGAACAGCTGATGCAGTAAAGGGGGGCTGGAGCCTGTCCCAACACTAGAAACTGGTGTCCATAAAAGGAAGTCCCTTTTCAATGACATCATGCAGTGCCA